AGGATCAAATCACCCATCATAAAAGCACTACTGCCCTCATGAGGAGCATTTGTGATACCCCCAGATCTTACAAAGCTGTACAAGAACTTGCAGAATATGATGAATATATTACCACAGAGGATAACGTGAGATCATCTGTCAAAAGCTTAACTAAAAGTGGACCTTGCAACATGACAATGGCAATAATCATTCTAGTAAATTCACCAAAGAATGGCTGAAAAAGAAAAGAAAAGAAAAGGGAAATAGAAGCTTTTGGAATGGTTAAGTCAAAGCCTAGGTCTAAATCCCATCAAGATTCTATGGAGTGATTTGAAACAACTTGTACATGCAAGAAATCCCTCCCAATATTGCACAGATGAAAACAATCTGCATGAAGGAGTGAATTAAAAATTACTCCTGTTCAATGTCAGAAACTGGCAGACAGTTATAAGAAATGTCTACTTGAAGTTGTTTCTGCCAGAGGGAGTAATAATCTAATATTAAAGGTGGACTTATTTTTTCTATGGAAGGCAATGGCATATCTGTTAATTTTATGTTGAATAGACAATTTTTTTATACTGTAGGTTTTTGTTCAGTTATATCTTTATATTTATGTGCCTACATTGGCTGAAAAAAGGGGGAAAGGGTTTTACATGGGTATACTTGTTCACCCGGTTATAAAAGACTAGCAAAAAAAATTACATTTGGGGTGCATGAGAAAAATAAAAACAAAAGGAGACAGAAAGTAATGTGGAAGGACAAGGTCAAGGTGATCATTGGGATGTCCTTTGAAGAGCTTATTTATTAGTAGGGGCCTAATGGTAAAATAGTGAATCTGTGACCCAAATTCATCGGAGTTGAGATTCAACCTGATAGACAGTATAGGACAGACAGGGAGGAATCTAACCACCAGATTGCAAAAACATAAGCGAGCAATCGGGTGACGAGGCCTGAACTCATTAGTCGTTTCACATTGCAATGAACAAGGACATATGTTTAATTTCACAACTACTAAGATTGTTGCCCGAGTGGGTATAAAAATAGCCAGGCAAATGATTGAAACCTGGAAAATGGGCCCCTTGACAGTCAACAGGAGTGCTGATTTACCACCAGCTTATCAGGTATTAGGAACCGAGAACTTGGCAGCACAAGGAAAAAACAGGCAGCGATTTAATAGTTGGCCATCAGCATCCTAATTAACAACTAAAAAGCCACACACAACCAGGCACCGCATAAATACTATGCATAGAATAACCCAAAGCACACATTCTGGTAGAGAGAAGTTCCCTGATGATTGGCTCCACCACAAGTCTGAAAGTCAGAAGAGTAAACCTCTGGTCCCAGTGACCAACCCTGGTTGGATCAACCTGATAGTACCTAACTGTTCTAGAAAGTTGAAAATGCTATCTTGAACTTGCTAGATGAGTGACTTTAAACTTGAATGTTATTCCAAACTCATTTTCATGTCAGAGTTTCATGAGAATAATTTCTCTTTCTCCTAATTAAGAGTATTTTTTTCTCTAATGGGACTATATATTCAATTTAGCATTTACAAAAGGGCTGACAAAAATCCATTATAGTTTAATAAATAATATACATGAATAATGTCTCTAATGTTCAAGTTTTATTTGGTTTTAGATTAATTTGAATTTGATTTTTTTCTTTGAATAAGATTTTAATAAGCATTTATAGCTGCAGTTGTTTGTACATTTAGTTGGGGGAAAAGCTGCAATGGGTGTTAAAGAATTAATGAATATTTTAATCTATTTACTATTTTAAAAATAGTAAAGCCCAAGCTGGGAACAAGTATGCTTTTCCATGCTGCTTTTGTCTCATTTTAATATTATGAATATCTAAATGTGGGGACATAATTACTGATTACTACTGCAGAGAAATATTTTTGTTTTTATTCTATTCTACTGATAGACATATCAGTATTAATAGACAGCTAGTATATTGTGTTTTTAAAATTGTTTTTATGCCTTCCTCTTAAGATACACTAAGAGTTTTAATAATTTTTAAGAACAAAAATATTTTTAGGAGAAGAATATGTTGTAGGCATAAACAAGATTTTTTTCTGGTTTCCATCTGTTAGCATGCTCTAAAATGATTTGACTTAATATCATTGCTTAGAATATCATTGCTTAGAACCATTTCTGGGCTATACAGTGGCACAGATATACTAGGAATAAATTAATGGATGGCTCTTTCTATTGAAGTTATATAATGAATGGAGTGGGGCAACTGCCGGAATCCTGACATGGAGGTTTTATAAATGGGATGGTGATTCTACTGCACTGCCCACTTATACAATTAGCAATTGAAACTGGCATGCACTGTGCTTTTTGCATATTGTGTGATGCATTAATTCATGATGATACACATTTTAGTGGGCTTTGACAGAACACTTCCCTGGAAAGTAGAAAGTGAATTTCCTCTAGTGTTACAATTTGAACTTGCATATGCAACAGACTCTTCACGCCTAGCATTATTGGTTTTAGTTGGATGTTGAAGTCTGGGTGGTCATAAAGAACCCTCAAATAAGTATCTAGAGAGGAACATGTTGTAAGGTAAGTGAAAACCCAGCCTGGCCACAGACCTCAGCAGGCAAAAATATATTGGTGATTACTGGAGCTCATAGATAATTATTTGTTTAAAAAAATACATATAATTGACATTGGTCATGTTTCAGTATAGAGGAAACTAGAAAGCTTGTCACTACTGGTGAGCCGGATGCTTCAAACAAATGACTGCCTGTCCAAGCTTTGCATCAGGTCAGGCTTCAACATACTCTTTCAGGAAGTGAGACACAAATTATGATGGGGAAAATATATGCTAAACAGTTACAGAATTAATACTGCTGAACAATGGCGTAGGTGAATAGTGCTCATTTCCATTTATCTTTTGAGCAAAGTGTTCTGAAGACATGCAAGACTTTTTCCTTGACCCCATTTAAAAGACATCATGTTGCTGTTTGGGGAGATTTTTTTTTTAATGTAAAAGGCATTATTTTGGCCAAGAAAAGAGGGTTGCCATTTGTTGTAGTACTTGTATTTTGCTGGCTGATCTCAAAACTTGAGTAGACTGTCAAGAAAAATAAGTATAATTAATAGGCTAGATTGGAAGCCAAAACTCAGAAGAAAAAGTTGACAATTTATTTACTATTTATTTAAATTGTTTATTTATTTATTTGAGCAGGCATGGAGTTAATATCAACACTGGTGAGATATAGGTGGTTTGCAAATGTATTGTTGCCCAAAACATATAGACATGTTTATGAAATCATCAAGCATTAAACTGGACTGAAAAATACTTTGTTTTAATAGAATTGTGCCTATGTATACAGTCTGTGCATATTTATATAACGGTTAGCACATATATTCCGTCCTCACAAATAGATTGGGGAAGACCATTCCTAGTGTTCAGCTGAATATTCTCCATTTTTTATTTCTTATGTTCCTTTTTTCTTTCTGTCTTTGAATTAATACCTTCTGTCCTTGGCCTGATTACTTTGAAAATGAAATATGTTTAGATTGAGTTATTTCAGTTCCTTTTTGAAAAACAAGCTGATGTGTTTGGGAATTTCTTTATCTTTCTTGATGTCTGATCATAAAAGCTTCTTTTCATATCAATAATTTTGTCCCCAAATTGTAAAGAAAAAGTATTGCATCATAGCCTTTTGTAAATCATATGATAATTTAGCAAGATTAGAATCATATCCAATTTTGGAACCTGGAACTAAATGCTGGTTTTCAGCAAATTGGTTGCAAAACACATCATGAAAGTCTGCCAACATTTTGTAAATGTGGCCCAGTTGCCAGGTGCCCAAAGTGAAATCACATGACTGCGGGGGGGGGGGGGAGCAACCGTCAGAATTTCGAATCCAGGTTGTAAGTACTCCCCAGGTAGAACTTTGGAACTTGGAGCCAGTCTGGAATCAAGGACTACCTTGACAAAGAGGGTTACTGTATGCTTTGATAAAATGAAATTTCAATATGATCATACAGCACCTACCATAATTTTTATATACTCTTGAGTGAAATAACAGATGCAAATTGCAGTCTAGGTAGCAGGTATTCTACTCTAGGTTGTAGAAATCTGCTAATAGGATTGTTGTTGTTGTTGTCATTATTATTATTAATAATAATAATATATTATAGGGCAGTGTAAAAGTACTCTGTGTGTGTGTGTGTGTGTGTGTGTGTGTGTGTGTTTAATGTAACATTTTGAAATAATTATAGAAAACAATGTTACAGATTTAAAGATACTAGATATATACCATATTTTTGCCTGCAAGATTTAATTCCACTAAGCATTGATTAGATTCTTTTTTTCAAGCAGTGTTTTGAGTCCATTTCGTTTCAGCATCCATGGGTTCTAAAAAAGTAATTTTCAACAAGACATGACTAAAATATTAAGCTTTTTTTTTAAAAGTAATGTGATAAAATTTTGTGAATTGCAATAGTTTATTTTATTTTTTTCATTTTTCTTTGTAGTGGGAGTGAATTTGTTTTACTTCTGTATAATCATCTATTTATATGGTGATCTAGCAATCTATGCAGCTGCTGTCCCAGTTTCTCTCATGCAAGTGACTTGGTAGGTATGCATTTGGTAACAATATTGTGGATGTATTCATTTACTAAAAAAGCTAAAATATGATGTTATTTCATATTGATGGTTTTGACTTTGTACTGATGTGCTTGCTTCTATTTCTATCCCAGTTTTCAAGTCAATTTCAGACTATACTGAAATTTAAACTGAAATTCAGACTATACCGAAAAACTTAAAAGAGCCAGATTATACTTAAAAACCATTGTTAGAAATAATCATGAATCCAGCTCACAATGATAATCAGCAGGAAAGGAGAAGGACTCTATTAAGAATGGCAATGGGTATGCCATTGAGAAATTTGAAGGTTGAGGACAGATCATCTTGGAGAAGATCTATCCATGTGGTCGCTAAGAGTTGATAACACACAAATCAAACTAATGGCAAATTTTAATATTTGTTTGCAGCTCAAATTGTTTCTCAGATAGGCCCCAAGCTATTTAGGACTTTGAAAGTGAAAACCAGCACTTGAATTCCTGAAAAATATTTGTCAATGTATGCAAATATTCAAGGCAAGCTAAATGTACCTGTTAATAATCCAACTGTGGCATGAATGCTGAATGCTGTCTAGGGCAGCCCACAAAGAATGTATTACAATGATAAGAAGTAACTGCAGAATGGAAAACCATTGCCATAACCAACTAGCTAAGGAATAGTTGCAATTGTCATACTAGCTACATCATCTGCTGCTTAAAAAACTGTTATTACTTGATCTGTAACTGTTTTATGGACATAGTTTTATGTATATTTATGAATAAGGGTCTTCACATATTCAGATGAATATTAATATTCTGTTTTGCTTCTTTTTGTCAGTACTGTGACTAGCAATCATTCATGCAGTGTGGAAGATGAGACAAAGTATAATGACACAGACAAGTGCTGGGGGCAAATCAGGAGGATTGATGCTTACAGAATTTATCTGGTAGGTGTCACTAACCAAAGGCACAGTATGAATTTTGCTTTGTTTTTAAACAACATACCACTGTGAAAGAATGGTTTAAATTTTAAAGGTATAATCTGATGCTGTTTTCAGCCTCTTTCTCTTCCTTTTTTTCTCCTGGAAGTTTGTTAACCTTATACCTTTCAGTAGGTCAGCCTTGTAATTGTAGTAGTCCCTTGAGATACACATAGGTGGTGGAAAATTAATGATACTTTTCAATGGAAATTACCTCAGCCTCAACTCATATTTATCAGGCTGTCTACACACTGTACTTTAGGCATGATATCCTGTTGAGTGTTAGCTTTGGCTAACGGTAGTGCTTTCTTCCTAATTTTCCCCTTTTCTTGTGTAAGGCAATAACTCAAATAGCTCTACTTTTCCAGGCCAGAAATATTTACAATACTAATGAAGTGATGAAAGCTTGAAAGGGGTTGTCAGACTACCTTGGAGAAGCAACTTAATACTGGAAAAGCAACTGAATTGTATTAATAATGCTACCAAGAAATATTAGATGCTTCATATACTTCAGCATTAAAGTAGGATTGCTTGTTGTATGTTGGCATTTTATAAACAAGGGTGATTTTTAGTAAATATGTTCACTGGTCCTGTTTTACCAGTATTTCAGTATATATTAAAAGATTTTACTAAAGCAGGCATGTGTACATTTTCAGCTTGGGATCCATTTCATTTTATTCCAAAATTGTGATATACCAGTTGAAGCTGCATGTGAAAAATACACTGCATGCTTTAAAAAAAAAAACTGACCCCAAGAATGTGTTTCAGTATTTGAACTAATTTCATTCTTTCTATGGAGAAGTCAACTATCTATCTTGATTTCAGAAGTATAATTTAAGATGTTAAAAGAGATATTTTATTGCTGTTGTAGTTAATCGGGTGACAGACTGAGGAGTTTGCTTGTCTACTGCAGTTTATCCAGAAATTACCCACTTCATACTTCTATTGTAATGTTTGTCATGAATTTACTTTTGACATTTGGCTGTTAGTTGGTAACAATCAAGCCTTAAACATAATAATTAAGGAAAAGAGTGATAAAACAAAATTCTTTTTTTAAAAGTGTATCTGATTTTATTGCTAAAATCATGGCAGCCACAGATGGTAAGTAAATCATGCAGATGGCAAAGAAGAAACAAACCTGAAGCAATAAATACAGTTTTCCTTCAGGGTACTCTGTGCATCTTAAACTTTGTTCCTGCACTCCTGACTAGATTATTACTATGAACAGCACGCTTCTGGAGGATGGGTGACACACAGTAATAATGCTGAAAAAGGAAGAAAGCCTTGGTAATATTAAAGAAATGCCATAGTCTGGTTAATTATTTAAAGAAAGTATTATTTTATTAAATTGTGTCTAGGCCTGTTTCTCCAGAATTTTTATACCACTGAAGGTTTCTTTTATACTGAGTTTTAGTAATAGTTTGATCCAGCAGAAGTCAAGGCATGCAGACATTAATTATGGCCTGTATCTCTGAATATTACACCTATAATTCATAAGGTAATATTTTAAAGCAGGGATGGAAGAAAATGTGTCTTTACGGAAACAGTAGGTTAAGTATTCTGTGAAAGCAATAATAGCCTATAATAATACAGTTCTGTAATGATGTCTTTCCTTGGCTTTGTGATGCATTTGGCATCTTTAATGTTGCAGCTTTAACAGTATGTAAAAATTGGTAGTGGAATCAATGAAACTTCTGTGCTTAATTGCTGACTGGCTCTAAACTATTAGGAAGAATGATTGGATTGAGTCTTTCAGAATCATTGCTCGTGACCTGCGGTGCATTCATACTTTGAGATGAAGTGTTTAAAATTAAACAACCTGATTCCCAAAGTTGCATGTGATCTCTTTCCTTTATGGGCTTCAGAGCTTCATATGACCACTGCAGCAGTAAACCAGCAATATTATTTACTGCTGTTCTAAAGTAGAAAACATATACATTATAATATAAAGTTGATCTCATATTTTAAAAACCTTCCAAACCTCACCCAAACACAGGTTTAAAAAAGTAGCATAGATTTGCTCCCATGTGTTACAGCTTTTCCATGGTTTTTAAAAATTTACTTCATTATCCTATATACTGTGGCTTTTGCTCTATTAAAAAAGAAAAAGAAGGAAGGGGAGAAGAAGCAATAACAGTAGCAGTAATGGTGAAATAGGCCACCCCTCAAAGATGTCCTTCCCTGATCTAGATCACTAAATATTTTCCTCATTTTTCAGTTTTCTTGTTGACAGTTGAATGCACTGTTGCAAAAACAGTTTCCCTAATAGGATAATTGGGAAGGAGAAAATAAGGCTTCAAATTGAGTCCACTATCATTTTCACTAAATGTGGTAAAGATTTCAGTGTATGTGACTTTGTTGTCAAGCTGTCCACTTTTGCCCACCAGAAAGTTAAAGTTTGCATTCTGGCTTCCTATAGTGTACTATATTTTGCCAGTTTCCCATATTGTGCTATATTTAGAATTCAAAATTGCTGTTTGCCCATTATGGTAATTTATTTTATATATATATATATATATATATATCAATCAAAAAAGAAGAACCAACCTCTTCCCTGGTCCAACATACATACATACATACATACATACATATATATATCAAAAAAGAAGAACCAACCTCTTCCCTGGTCCAACACCTCAAAGCCACAGGACATGAGATTGACTTTAAAAATACCAGAACTATCGCCAAAACTGAACACTTCAACAACAGAATAATCAGAGAAGCCATAGAGATAGAAAAACGCCCACATAACATGAATAAACGAGATGATACCTCCCGCCTACCAGCCATTTGGAAACCCGCCCTCATGAACAAATGAGTACCCAACATGAAGAATGACACCAGATCCACATGCACGAGGGCCACACAAGATGCTTCACCACACTTCCACATAGAAAGCAGACTCATACCCACACAGAAGATGAGACACGATCACGGACCAGAAGCCGTACCACAGCTGCATCACTACCCACTTCAAACCCCTCCGACCCATACATGAAGCGAACTGACGCCCACCATGAAGATGTGGCACGACCACGAACGCAAAGCCAAACAGCAGGATCACAGCTCACCAGCTCAAATCCCCCAGCAACTAAGACTAACCTGAGCACAACCAAGTCCCCACCTAAACAGAACACACCCCCAACCAATCAGAACACAGCCAAACCCCCAACCAATCAGAACACAGCCAAACCCCCAACCAATGAGAACACATCCCCAGCCAATCAGAACACAGCCAAGTCCTCACCCAATCAAGTCATACCCCCACTAGCAGTTAAAAGAAAGAAGCAGCTGCAAGCTCACATTACTCCGAGAAGCACAAAGCCGAAGACACAAGCCTGAAGATGATGAATGAGACTTCATCGAAACGTTGCCTAGATACTTCCAATTTTACGCGGGAGAAAACCCGAATAACCAAAGATCCACATACAAATACCTGCAAAAACCTCAGAAAACAAATGTGTGTGTGTGTGTGTGTGTGTGTGTGTGTGTGTGTGTGTGTGTGTATGTATGTATGTATGTTAGTTATTCAGCTTTGTTCGGGTATTTTCCCACGTCATTATAGTTGTGCTTTTAAAGTTGTAGCAACGTTTCTGCAGAATCTCATCTGCCATCATCAGGCCTGATGTGTATGTATGTGTATGTATATGTATATGTATGTGTATATCTATATCTATATCTATCTATCTATCTATCTATCTATCTATCTATCTATACACATGTGTACTCACAAGCACATATATACTCTCGTCTAAGATTTCTGTTTCTTTGTACTCTTCCCCCTCTCCTCTTGCAGTATTAACTTTTTCATTATACATTAACTGTATCCTGAAGCCACAAAAGAAGAAGAGAGAATGATGGTCATAAAAATATTATTTTGTAGTTTAATGTGGAAAAACGTCTCCAGAAATAGTCTGCATTCCTATGCCTTGAATGAAGGCTGAGTGCCGTGCACGTAGTGAAAATATTTAGACAGATTAAGCTGCTCTCTGATGAGTTTCCTTCCTGTGCAGCATCTTAATATTACTCTGCAGGCTCCAGCAACCTGAACATATCTCCACTGTCTGGTAGGCTTACATTTAATCTTTGTCTTTCACAAATTTCAGACTTGATTCTCTTGTAAACTTCTTCCTGGAAACTACCATTCCAAAGTATAATCTTGATAAATAAACAAGTAATTAAATAAATGTTGTTTAGTTGATAAATGATTAAACTGATTCCCTCACTCTCAAATAACATTTTGTAGGTTTTTTTTACAGATGACATTGGAATCTGGGTTCACTCATGGAGTGTTATCAATACTTTTTTTCCCTAATAACCGGCATATTTGGTGGCGTGAACCCATGGCAATGCAGATTTATTGGTTAAAGCAAATAATAAAGTTTTCTGGTTCTTATTTATTGTTTATTGGCAATACAACATTCAGATTCTAAGTGGTTTTGGAGTCACTTGCAACCTCCGGTTGAGTTATTTTTTCCCATTTTAGCTCAGTTAATAGTTTGAGGCCATATTAGAAATTAACTTGCAATACTGGTTTGAAGGGCATATATTTTCCTAGTTTGGATATAAACAGTTTGTTATATAGAAGGAGCAATTAATTGATATAAAGTCAAGAGAAAGGTTGAGGGAGTTTATAGCTTTCTTGAATAATAACAAACCATAGCTTGACATTATGCCTGAAAATCTCAGTATTATTTATAAGCTGTCATAAATATTTTTTCTTATTGCAGAGTGATGAGGCAATTATGCAGCATACATTATTTAAGAATGGATAGTTCTCTTCGCTATACATTCTTGAATAAGCTCCTTTGCTTTCTTCTGCATCAATTCTACACGTGGATTATGAATTAATGAATTAGCATCCCATTCAGCCTATTTATTCTTAATCTTATTATATCAGGCTCTTTGGCAGGGGCTAAAAGTGAAAGTGGTTTTTTTCCCAAGGAATATTTTTGCATAATTCTCAT